ACAGTATATATATCACTTATAACATTTCTCATAACATTTCCTGTCAGGCAACACAGGTGAATATCCTCCTCTTTGTGAATGTGAGGTATAAAACTAAAAGTTTGGCTTTAAAATGTAATAAAAATAAATGAATAAACCTGTTTTGCAACAGTGAATAAAATGCATTAAATTATTAAATACATTCTCACAGACATTGGCATATATTAGCACTGCTGGATGTAATTAATGATCACRGTCCTGACAAGGTAGGTTAATACTGTACGTGTGATGATGCAAATATCTTGTACGTGGGAAACTGTGCTTGTAGTTGTTTGCAGTTTTCATGTTAAACATCTATATGTGTGCTTATAAATGCACAAGATTGCGTGTCCAAGGACTGGGTGTTTGTGAATGTGGCATACCCTCACCCACTCATTATAGTAGGACATATCTACGTTTGGCATTTACCTCTGACCTCTGCTCTGCGGCAAGCACAATTACTGAAAGGCCAGGCTCTTCAGCTAATGTCCATCACATCCACTCTCTCGCCTCACTCCTACCTTATCACTTCTTTTTTTTTTACACCAGACCCACTGAAGTGAAAACGGGGTAAAAAGGAAATTCAGTTTGATGTGTAATTATTAAGGTGAAGATCTACTTTTTTTTCAGTACTTCACACTCTTCTTCTTTGCAGGATTTGTGTTAATGAACCACATCTGTTCATATGTCATTTATTTACTGAGTTTACTCTGGTTTAGTTCCTCCAGACCTTATTTACTAGGTTAAGAAGTATTTCACATGGTGGCCCAGTGGATAGAGTTGTTGCAAGAAGGTTGCAGGATCACCCCATGACATGTTTTTCTGGGTGGAGTTAGAATTATCTCTCCATGCACACATGGGTTTTCTCCAGATCTTCAGTTTCCTTCCATTGACCAAATAAAAGCCCATTAGGTTAGGTGTCAGTGAGACTGTGACTGGTCATTTGTCTCTATGTGTCCCCGTAATGAACTTATGACCTGTCCAGGGTGTACCCAGTCTCTCGCACAGTGACCGAGAAATTAAAAATTAAGAGAAGGGCGGAAAGAAAATGAAGTCAGTAGGAGTAAGAGAAGCTTGATTAGGGGCACAGGTCAAGATCCTGCCTGAACCCCTGCTCGCCGCCTTCTCCCTCACTGCTCACTTCCTTCATCTGCAGGTAATGGAGCACCTCTCCGACAAGCAGGGAATGAAGAGATTAGGAGGAGTAAATTACACAAAGCCATTCTCTTTAACAAGACAAGGGAAGTGGAGTCAAAACTTCAAACAACTTTTGACAAGATGGCATCAGAGGTCAGAGACTGAGGCTGGAGCAAAGATGAACACACACACACACACACACACACACACACACACACACACACACACACACACATGCGCACAAAAAAAGCTGTTTGGGGTTTAAGGTCAAAACAGGTAAAGGAAATGATAGCTGGGGAAAAATGTAGTATTAGTATATTCTGTGTCTCATCTTACTWTGTCCAATGTCTCTTATTCCTGATGGCCAGGACAATTCAGCTTGACCCTATGATTGAATGTCAGTAACAAAACCAATATTTACAAGAGAAAGTTTAGTAAAATAATCTATGAGCTTCAGTAAGCTTCCAAAGGGAATTTTTTGTGACACAATATTGCGTTAGTCTGTATTCTGTGAACTCATGTTGATTTAACCCACAATAAAAACAAAAATAAATGTTAAAAAATTCTGCCTGAAAACGTTAAAATATGATTTTTGTGTGGCAAGGGAAATGGGAAATCTAAAAGATATTCATTGGGTGTCATTAGAAACCTAAAAACTCTTTGTGTTACAAGAAATAAGTCTAAAACAATGCAGAAAGTATATATTTAACATGCAACCAAACATAAACCAATAATATAAGTGACATTTATCACTATGATGAAGAAACATTCATTGTAGAGAAGTTAATACACATTTAAAGATGCACCTTTTTTCATGAAAGTGCAGTTTCCGTTTTAGTTTTACACTATTATTCTTTTTTTAATCAAAATTTGTTGTAAAAGTTGTGTCGCCTCAGGATGAGGAGGTTCTTGATGGATGGATGTTACTGCTGTAATTGTGTGGTTTTAGTTATCTAACCATCAGGCTCCTGTTGTACCCATTTCCCATTCATACGTTTAAACTTATAATAGGTGCTACTTCTTCTTTTACCACTTCATACTTTGTACAGCAGATTATGCCGACAATCTAATTTTATCAATTAAAAAAATCAATCAGAGCTGATGGAAGGTTTTCAGATTGTTTCCCACCTTATCCAATGTTTACCTACTATTCTCCACATAAATTAATAGTTAAAAGTTGAAAAGAAAGTATTAAATAAGTAAATGTTCTGGTAAAACAAATCAAACCCTTTCCATGTCTTTTGTGGGGTTCTCCTAAGCTTGATTTTTTTAAAGAAGGCAGCTGGTATTCTGTAGAATGCTGAAGAAATTTTACTAAACAAAATTTGCTTTATCCCAGGAAAGACGTCTTAGAGGAAAAAAATGGCAGTTTTTTGTTTACCATACATCATGAAGCACATTTTGCAAAACTTTA